TCTATGATTATAGCTGTGAGCTATCAACACTGGGCTCAAAATATATTCCTTAATTTACAATTTTTGCTTCTTCAGGTATTATTAAGCATAAAGAACATAAACCCAGGAATTTAAAAACCAGCTTCATAGCTGGGCACTGGGGCTCATGTCTATAATACTACTCAGGAGCCTGGGATCTAAGAATTACTGTTTGGGGCCAGTCTGGGCAGGTATGTCCAAGGAGATTCTTTTTCTTTTTTTACACCTAATTTAATGTTATTGTAAAGGTGATGTACAGAGGGGTTACAGTTACATAAATAAGGTAATGAGTACATCTCCCTATTTTATCCCTCTTTCCCTCTCACTTGTAAGTCGTAAAGTTCATTTCCAACATAGTGTCTTGTGAGAATCACTGCTGCATTGTTTCACCCTTTGTCCTTTGTCTCATCATTTTGTTATTTCCCTTCCCTTCCCCAAATCAGATAAACATATGTACAAGACACAGGGTATCAGAATCAAAACTAGTAACAACATGGGATAACCAAAGAAAAAAATTGAAAAAAAAAGAAGGAAAAAAATAACTTCACAATAGCTCAACTATGTATATATAACCATATAAAATGATGCTAATTGAAATGAACCCCAATATATGGAAATGAGGTTTTTGTTTTTTTAAATCTACTGTGTGAAGTTATTTCTTTTATTCTTTTGTTTATCCGCTGTTACCACTGTTTTTGATTCAGGGAGACTCTTGTTCCAATGAACTACAAGAAAATTGGAAGTGGGGTTGTGGCTCAAAGTGGTAGAGCATCAGCCATGAGCATCAGGGACAGTACCCAGGCCCTGAGTTCAAGCTCTAAAACCAACCTAAATAAATAAATAAGTAAAAACTGGTTTCATGCATTTCTATCTGTAAAAAATCAATAATAGTATTTATTTACATAATGTAGCCATTGTAAAAATTAAACTAAAACATTATCCAGAAGCCTAAAACATGATAGGTTCTCAGCAAATGCTGTCCTTTGCTCTTCTAATTGAGAAGTTATTTTTAAGTCTGCTGTGAAAATATTTACCAATGACTTGGTTAAGATATTCAGGCTACACTAAATCTTTTCCCATATATTATTGAAGAGTTTACATTCTAACTTTTACCTTCTATTTCTCATAATATTTCATAATATTTCATAAATTCCTTCGGGCAAAGAAAGTAACAAAAGCAATAGAAAAAAATCAATAGAACCAAGTCTAGTTTCATAAAGAGATTAATAAAATTGATAAATCTCAAGTCAGAGTAATCAAGCAAAAATTGAAATAGAGACCATCACTAGATATGTAGAAATGTACACATTAAGAAGCCATTAAAGAAGTTTTACAAAAAATATTAGGCCAATAAGGTTAAAATTTTTTTAATGAATATGCAAATTCATGCAACCCCCAAGATATTACTTTATATTACTTAAGAAGTAATAGGTAATTTAGTAATCAAGGAAATTTAAATCATAATAAAAACATTACAACAATGAAAATTCCAAGCCCAAAATGTCTGAAAATGTCTAATTCAACCAAAAATGTTATAAAGAAATAATATCACATTTTCTATAAATTTTACAGAAAATAGAACATTTTCCAACTCATTTTGACACCAATTTTACCCTAATACCAAAATTAGATAAAGAAATTACAAGAAAAGGAACTTCAGACTAATATGCCTGATGGTTATAGATGAGGAATTATCAATGAATATTACCAAATCAGAATAATCCATTTGTAAGAAAATAATACTTCATGGGTAAATGTAATTTGTCTATCAGTTGCAAAATTGAATTGACATAAAATATCAATCAGTGTAAGTCACCATATGATGAAAACACTCATTCAAGTAAGTTATTAAAATAACTTTGACAAAATTTAATCCTCACTGACAATAAGTACTCTCAGTGAGGCAAATCATAGTATGACAAACACAACCTAAGGTGGACCCCAGATCCTAGTCTCTCAAGGCTCATAATCAGAACTTAACTAGTGTAGTTGCTAACAAATAGATCATGGCTACCATAATGGGATCCCATTTCTAGAACTATTACTAGATGACTCAGCTCACTTAGCTACCATCATTGAAGAAGCAAACTGCTATGTTTTGAATTGTCTGTGGAAAGCATTACAGGGCAGGAAGCTATAAATAGCCTTCAAGGTCCCAAGAGTGCCATTTAGGTGATAGTAGAAATCTAGGAATCTCAGCCTTGTAATAAGGAGACAAACTCTGCCAACACCTAGGGTTGAAATGGATGCTTTTGTAGTTGAGTCATCTGATGGGATCACAGATCAAGTAAAACCTTGATTACAGCCCCATGAAACTCAGAAACCAGCTCTGTTATGCTCAGATTCTGGATCCACACAGTTGGAGTGAATATTTTCTATCAAATGTCTGCCGAAGGACTTGCATCTAAAATAAATCTTATACTTCAATGATAAAAAGGCAAATCCATCAAAACAAACAAAATTGAATCATTCCCAAAGAAACAATATATTTTATGAATAAGTACATGGAAAAATACTAATTAGATTTTAAAATATAACTTACAACCACAAAGAAATACTGCATCTGATAGACTGGCTAAAATTTAAGAAATGAATCTGATATTACCAAATGATGACAAAGATGGGAAATAATTGAAACTAGTACATTAGTGTTGAAATTGCATGATTAAATTGCTGTCTTGGAAAACAATTTGGGAGTTTATTATAAGTTTAAGCACTCAGGTGCCAGAAAACTACTGCTAGGTATTTCAGCAATAAAAATGAAACATATGTTCACACAAATACCACTTCATAATTTATAGTAGTATTTATTATAGTCCTAAAAGGGAAACAACCTTGGTATGAATCAATTGATAAGATACACAAATCATATTATAATTGTACACTGGAATAGTTCCTAGCAATAGGAGGAATGAATTACTGAAAAAAAAGTGGATAAATGTTAAAATTGTGACATTAAATAAGAGGAATAAGGCAAAAAGTTTGATATTTCTTTGCAATTTTGGAAAAGGCAAAACTATGAGGTTAATCGTCAGAAAAAGGGATGACTGGGTTGAGGGAAATTTGGAGATGTTGAAATAATCTATATCTTTATTATTGTGATGATTAAGTTATACACATTTGTCAAAATTCATTAAGTCATACATACAAAGTGTGTTCTTATTTTAAATAGTCTATCTTTTAAGCCAACTTTAAAAATTCATCTACTAATGAGATTAGTGTGACATTTTACAAATTTGGAAACTGGCTAATGTTTGGAATATTAAGCACTTTTTCATGAAATAAGTAATAGTTTTCAAATGTTAAACATTTTCTGAAAGGAATTCAGAGAAATAGTTAAAATTAATATATAATACTATATAATTTAAAGACTTGAAGGTATAATTTAAATTCTGGATTCCACCCTTAAAAAATGACCATGATTTATAAATAAAATAATTTAATAGAGTTAAAGAATTAAAGGGAAAAAATTCACCATCTACTCTAAATAGTATGACTCACATCAAGGGCATGTTTGAAATTTGTGTGTAAGGGGTCAATAGCATCTATTTCGCTGAGATAGTGAAAAAATTGCACTTGATCTAAGAGTTTTGGGGAAAGACTTTCACTGTTTTGTTACTCCCTCATATTTTACTTTGAGGTGGGGAAGATGGGACTTCCAAATTTATTTTGTTTTATTGGTTGATGTTTCTCTTTCTACCAAAGGTGTCAAGTTGATTCACAAACCAGTCACTGCAAAGTTCTCCTTCTAAACTTTTGTCTCTCACTCACATACTATGATACATAATTTCCTCTCAACTTCCCTTTGGAAGACTCCATGTGTCTTCTGAAAACACTCTTCTATTATCTTATCAATAGGTTTTGCTCAGACTCCTCAACCTCACATGGACACAAGCCAGAGGGATTTGCTCAGATCTTATTCTCAGCATTATCCTAAGGGGACTCAAGATCTCTGCTTCCCAATACCACAAATTTGTTTTAAGTCTATTTAAAAATATTATTACAACTGTCATTAGATCTTCTAGATTTCATTTCTGCTTTCATTTTACTTTATCATGAAAGTTCATGACTCATCCAATCCATTCACTTCATGCTTTCTTGACTCATTAGATCCACAGATCTTGTCCCTCCATTATACATTCAATTACCCAACACTGTTGTTTGTCTGGAGACTCTGAGATTTCTTAATGAACAGATTATAAAACAGATTATCTAGATAATCCTAGCATCTTTATTGTTTGTATCTCCCATTCTGCTAGAATCCCAGGATTATCTCTTTTGCCTTTGCTATGGTACTTGAGCACTTTTTTTTAATCTAATAAGACTAAATTTCTTTGAACTACATGATGAGTTCCTTTAATGAATTTAACAGTGCCTTAAAATTTGCTACTCCCTTGAACTCTGACCAAGTCCTGTTGTGGCTTTCTCATCATGACCACAACTAATGACTACTTCCTTTTTACTTTTTTCTTTTTGTCCGTTGTGGGGCTTGAATTCTGGGCCTGGGCACTGTCCCTGGGCTCTTCTGTTCAAGGCAAGCTCTCTCCAACTTAAGCCACAGCACCACTTCTGGTTTTCTAGTGGTTTATTGGAGGTAAGAGTCTCACGGACTTTCATGCCTGGGCTGAACCATGATCCTCAGATCTCAGCCTCCTGAGTAGGTAGGATTACAGGCATGAGCCGGCGGCTCCTGGCTCCTAATGACTATTTTCTAAGTTCCAATTCTCATCTGTGGAAAGTTGCCTGAGAGCTACAAAAAATGATGACATGGTTTGCTTCATTAGATTGTGCCAATTGGACTGCTTTTCTATTCAGTAATGTTTTTAGTCATCTTTGGTGAAACAATTCTGATTTGGTTATTTCTTTCTCATAATTATATTAACTATTACATCAGTGCTACACTAAAATTCAATTGTCATATTAGTTACATCTACATATATTACCAAATACAAATAAATATAGAGATAAAACTTTATACTCACTTGGAAATGGGATTGACACTGGCTTCAATTATTGTCAAACACTTACAGCACTTTATATTTTCTGGAAATTCTTGTACACCTAAAAGACAAAAATAACAAAGCACATGAAAATATTCCAGCAAAACATTTTTCAAATGATATTCTGATAATAACAATAATCAATACAGACTATAAATCATCATGGCATTGACACCAGTAGAATAAATAAGTAGAGTAAAAATTTCATATACTGCTGTCCAATAACAGAAGCATAGATACATATAGTTTTTCCTGGCAAAAGTTGAATATTAAATAATATAACAGCAACAGTGGAAATGGATATACAATTGAGGATAATTATATTTGTCATGAGATGTATCTTGGCTCTTTGCTAACTTTAAGGGAAAAATATAACTTGTTATTTAGTCACTATAATGCACTTCCAGGGAAGGGAAAAATCAGAAAATGTAAAGTAAATTTCAAGATAAAAATCTGTGCTTCTAGGGCTCAATTTTACAGTTAGGAAATACAGACATATTTATTTGATGAATACTTCAAGATGATCACAGAACTGATAGATACTTCCAAGCCAATATAAGGCTTTAGCAAATTTTATGCACTTTTTTCTTGTTTAATGCATAGAGTATCACTCTGCTTCTGGTTGAGAATGTGAAGAGGTGGGCTGCCCTTGCCCTTCTTTGAGTTCTCCATGGAGTCTTTGTGGCAGTTGAGAATTCTCAACTACAGAAGCTTCTCTATGAAACCTAAAATCAGTAAGCTATAAGCCTCATCCATAAGAGCAGGGGAGTAAGTGATACAGATAACATTTCAACCAGTTGATAGAAAATGAATAAAACATAGTAAGTCCTGCAAAATATTAGAAGCAGAGTTAACAATTTTAAACCATTCCTATCTGCCCATAGTGACACTTTTCACTTTGGAACTAACCTTCTTTCAATCTTTAGCTTTGTTTAGTAAATTTGTAGTATAGTTCCATCTCATGGTGGTGTAACTCATATGATATTTACATAGGTTCCTGACTAGAATGTTATTTCCTCAACGTATGTGTAGATCAAGACAGAGAAGCAGAAAATAAATTTAAATATGATTTTTAAGGACAAGACTGGATTTATTTTTCTATGGAAAATGGGTTTACCTACTTGGTTTACAGATTTGTATTTTTTTTTAATGGTCTAAATGTGAGATCATTCAGGGTCAAGTATTTTGGCTTAAGATAGGATCCCAGCTTCATCTCTACTGATAGAGTAACCCGAGGCAAGAAACTTAAACTCTTTTTTTGTGTGTGTGTGGTCATGTGGTTTGAACTCTGGGCCTGGGAGCTGTCCCTAAGCAATTCAGCTCAAGGCTAGCACTCTACCACTTGAGCCACAGCACTACTTCCAGTTTTCTGGTGGTTTATTGGAGATAAGAGTCTCATGGACTTTCCTGCCCAGGCTGGCTTTGAACCGTGATTCTCAGATCTTAGCCTCCTGACTAGCTAGGATTACAGGCATGAGCCACTGATGCCCGGCTAGAAACTTAAACTCTTAAAGTTTTAGTTTCCTGCTCTAAAACTGATTATGTGAAGTATTTCATAATAGAGTTGTAGTGAGCAGTGAGAGATGTATTAAACAATCAAGTGATATATTATTTTAACCCACAATTATTAGTAATAAAAAAGAAGTAGGGAATGTCAATCAATACAAATATCAAAAATAGTGCCAGAATGAGGGAGTAGGGGGAATGAATTAACATAATTTATCTACCTTAAAGACACAAGAAAGTAGCGAGAACTAATGTGTTCAAAGACTAGCAATATATAATAAATGTGGTCATTGAGATTAATGTCCTTGCATATAAGGAAATTTATAAATGTATAAATATGTAAAATTGTGTTTTGTTTGTATATTTACATATCCTTTTGTAATTATGTGCCATTATATTATTTGCATCCCCATATTTATTACAGTATATTCATCATTGTCATGATAATGAAATAACTAAAGTGCCCATTGGATGAATAGTGATGAAACTATTTGTTTTGAAAAAGGAAGGTAATCCTTCCATTTGAAACAACTTAGATGGATCCAGAGTATATTATTCTAAATGAGAAAACCAGACACACAAAAAATTATTATTTCATCTTATATAGATGAGACCTCTTATCATCAAAACAAAACCCTGTGATTACCAGGCATTTGGGAGTAGGTTAGAGGGGAAATGAAGATATGCCAAAGGATAAAAGCTTTCAGTTGTTAAGATTAATAAATTTTTACATTTAATATACATCATGGTTACTTTAGTTACCCAGATTGGCTTGCTTATTTTATACATAATTGTATAAAGTTATTTCTTTGTTATGTCTATATATGCATATGATGGAGCTCTGATCCAATTTCTGTCTTCTTTGTCTTTCTCATTACTTTCTTTTTTAAAACTTAAATGGGTATCATTATTCTCACAAATCAGGTTAAAAAGTTTAAAAAAGTTAATTATCTAATAGTGAACTTAAAGTTACTGTCAAACAAAGTCCACTGCTATCTCTAGTTTCAAAAATCCCTTCACTAGGACATATTAGGTCTTTCACTAAAATACAAAGTTAAGAAATGTTCTTAAAATCATACTATTGGATTAAACATATTGAATTAGTTATTGGCTACAAAGAGGTCAACATGTGGCCTGAAACAGTCTTAATAATTGTGCCCCTCTCAAATTCAAGTATTGAAATCCTTAGGAAATGGTATTAGGAGGCTGAGACTTCTAGAGATGATTTGATAATAGGGTTAGGACCTTTTCATATGGGATTAGTGCCCTTTGTAAAGAAACTAAGGTGAGATGCTTTCCCTCTTTCCCATGTGAAGACAGTGAAAAGGTAAAAGAGTAGCTAGTGGTCTGACTTCTTTAAGAGACTTTACCACATGGGGTGCTGTCTCTAAGGGACAAATCCTTACCACATGTAGAATCTGCCAGCACCTTGGTGTTATTTATGTGCCCCCCAATTTGTAGTATTTTGTGATAAAGCCCCTGGACTACAATGAAAGCATCAATGACAAAATAACTCTCTTGCCCATATTCAAATCAGAATAAGACTTCAGATAAATGGATGCTTACACACTGAAAAAGTTTCCTGATATAAATCTGTTTCAGGGATTTCAATGGTGCTGTGCTGCAAGTTATGAAGCCCTGTTAAATGAATGGATGACAATCCCTGTGGATATAGCAGACTTTAATATTTTTTTATTACAATCTTTAAGTAGTTTAACAAAGCAGTTTATAAATACATGTATCTCAATCAATGTTGATTTTTAAGAAGTTTCTTTGTTCTCCCTAAACTGTTGGGTTAAAGGATATTTAAAAAGGAAAAGGGAGAGATGGACTGGTTCAATACTGGAATTCCAGCTATTTGGGAGGCCAAGATAGAAACATTATGATTTGAGATTGGCTCAGATAAAAAAAAGTGGGAGATCGTATGCAAATAAAATAACTAAAACAAAAGGGCTGGGGGAATTGATAGAGTGCTTGTCTGGCAAGTCTTGATTTCAAACTGAAGTGCCACCAAGAAAGAGAGAAGAGATCAGAGAGAAGAGAAAGAATACTAGAAAGAAAATTCAACAAATCTTTAAGGTTAATTGAGCAGAAAATAAGCTGTATATTTGGAAGCAATAAATGCTTAGACTTAAAGTATTTTTAGATGTTCTAGAACTCAGTATCTTTATTTTGCATGCATCATTTTTCCAAGAGATTTCTGAGGGCTATTTGCTATCAAAATGACATAATAAAGCAGAGAGCTAATGCTCTAGGTTGGATCAGGTTAAAAGGCCCTAGAGAATCATTGCCAAGATCTAAGTAACAGAACAGTTAAAAATTTATAAAACATAGGGAGAATCCTGCCTTGCATGCCTAACAAATAAACAAAATATGAGAAACAGATTAATGAGACAACTACTAAAAATCAGTAAAAACAAAATGTAACAGGAGCTTCAGATGTGAAGTGGATGGACTTTATAAAGTGCTTTCTTTGGTCCTGAGTTCAAGCTCCAGGCCAGCGCCAAAAAAAAAAAAAACCACACACACACACAAAAAAAGACTATTAGATTTGACTTTATTAAACAACCTTTGAGACTGGTCTATCTGGTCTTCTGAAAAAATATAACTCCATACACACATGTATGTTTATATTTAGTTACATATATTTGTTGTTATACACATGCATGCATGTGTAACATGAATACAAATAAATACATTTTTTCCAATTTTTCTAAATGTTTTCAAATGTATTCACTCAGAAATAGAGAAATTAATAACCTCAGTTTAATGATATAACTAGGGAGATTTTGACTTGGAATAATTCATGTGTTACTAAATAGCTAAAAATTCACAAAATATGGGCACAGATGTTCACAGGTAGAAATTCTTTCCTTAGAGCTCTAGTTTTCTCAAGGGAAGTACTTCAGATTTGTGATCACGAATTCAACGTGATATCAGCGGGGTTTTATTTCTAGCTCCACTGAGCAATAGCTAGAGAACAGAATTGAAGCAGGGTTTTGCTGAACAATGCACAGTGCTATGAACGAAGTGGAAAAGAGTTGAGGGGTCCACAAAGGAGGAGTTTGAGGATTAACCACAAAAATCGGAATGAAATGTAAAGAGGAGAGAGGAAAGCTGAAGACGTGGGTAGGTGGGTGGTACAGGGCAAGATGGCGGCATTGGTGGATTGATAGTTTGGAGGGGCTCACAGATGGCTGCGGTTGTGTGAGGGAGTGACCTTCAAAAATAGTAATATGGTGCCAGGCATGTATTCATCAGTTGACTTTCAGCTTCTTGATAGTCCAAAAAGTACCTAGGTTGATACTGGGCAACTACATTAATAGCTTGAAGAAAAGAGCTAAAGTATTTTACAAACATGGAAAAAAATACTGGAGAGAGACGGTAGATTTTTATTGTCTGAAGATGAAAAGGGCGACTGTCTCTATACAAACAATATAGGTGACTTCTTAACATGTTATGTGAAATGGGGTGTTTAAGATCATTTCGTGTATGGTTAATGAAACTTTCCTTCATTTCCAGTCAGCGTCTTTCGTGAACATTCACTATGTTTGT